GTGAACTACTTTTAAAGGTTCTTTTTATCGGTACTGTCAATAATTACTTAAATTATTAGCGCATTTTAATTTGGTCGCATTTTTGTATACATTTAATTGAAGTATATCGTTAAAATAATTTTTAGCTGTTTACAATTCATAAATTTTACAATTACTTGAACTATAAGATTTTTGTTGCCTATTGTTTTTTTAATTGATTCAAATGAACTGAACAATAGGAAATATTCAACAGAAAATTGATTTAATAAATAATTTAATTCTTTGGAATTATTTACCTAAGGCAAAAAAACATGAAGGATATGTATATTATTAGGATTAAGTTCCGATCATACATTAACTCATCTCGACCATAGCTGTTACACTGACGGGGTGGTCGGGCTTGTTTTTCGTGATAACTCAGCCGAGCTACACTGGCTTGAATCCTACCATGCCAGATATGTTGGTCGGAGAACGGTAAGACTAGAAGCAGCAAATTAAGGTCCGAGGGCGAAGTCGTACTGTTAACTGTGGAGGAGTGTGAAAGCAGTTGGGTGTTTCTCTAGGACAACCAGAACGTGCAGCTATACCTCCTTCCCACAATGAGAGTAATGGGTTAAAAAAGGTGGACTCTATAAATGTCACACTTCACTTTACTCCACTGATTTCCATTTAAGGTGGAAAGGCCTTCTGAAGTGCGAAGCTAATACATCGAGAACTTCCCATGAAATGGCGTGAGTGACTAGCCTCAAGCAATTGTTCCTTGGGTTCTGTCGTCACGCTCCTGGGTCACTAAGACCGTCACTAATCCACCTCCCCTTTCAGTAGCAGATTATTAGGTTACTAGTATCTTGACATAGATACGTTTGAAGCGATTCCCGTATGTTGCAACCATCGACTGGATGATGGTTAGAAGCGTAGTACTAGGTGAATATGGCAAATAGGTTGATGAGGTTGTAAATCTTCATGGAATGAGGGTTCTTGGGACACATATTACTGGGATATATTGTTCGTCTACCTCGATCAATCAGTCAGTAACAACGTGGAGCTTCGTACGAACACCAGTTCGAGTTGTCATACCACATTAGCGCAGAGATGCAGATGTCGACTCAAATCCCGTAGCAGTAGAGGTGGCAAGAGTATAGGCAGTAATCGGAAACGCTGACGTTTAAAAATGTTATTCAAGGACTATAATACAGTGAAATAAATTTGGAAAGAAAATAAAGGACATGAACAATCCAGAAGATAAGAATTAGGGAAATCACAAAGAGTGGATGTACTTGCACCATTGCAAACGATTTTGAGCCATGTCATTCAGCGTCTCTAACCATCGGTTGCTTTCATCTCGCGGTCCCCAACCAGGCAGTCTACACCTAACAATATGGCTCAGTCTACTTGTCAGTGACTTTATGGATTTGTTCCGTGTTTTAGACTGGCCGCCCCTTGCTTTCTCCTAACCTACTCCTATACCGTAAAACATACCACGTCGAGGCAGTCGGTGGTTGGGCATAAGTAACACGTGTACCAGCCATCTCAACTGATGAAGTTTCACCACTTCATCAATTGATTTACCATCCTTACCTAGTACCTGTTTCCTAACAACTGCGTTACTTACTCGATGGCCCCAGGATATACGAGCAATGTTTCGAAGACACCTATGATCAAATACTAGTAACCTACAAATATCCTCTACTCTTACCGGCCATGTTTCACTGCCATAAAGTAAAACGGAACAATCTGCTGCGCAGTAAACACGTCCCTTGGTTGATAGACGGATATCTCGCCTACGCCATAAATGACGCAAGTTGGCAAAAGCTAGTCGAGCCTTCACTATCCGTGCTGAGATTTCGTCACACACAAGGGCTGATGAGACCTCCAAGATAAGTGAATCGGTCTACTCTTCACGAGCTTTAGTTAGGTGTCGAAGTATTATTGAAACGGATACTTTATACACTATGTTAGTCAAACTGATTACTCTGTGATCGTCATAAGAGGACTTTTGTTCTTTCTTATAGACTGGCAAAATCAGTAATTGGGACCAGTCAGATGGGATTACGTCCAGTTCCCAAATTCTACCTAGGATCACAGTTAATCTCACTGCTAATACTGGACCACCATCCTTAAAAATCTCAGGAGTAAATTTGTCAGGAACTGCTGCTCTCCCTCGCTTCAGATTTCTTTATGGTTTTTTTCAACTTCGTAAAGAGTCGGAGGACCTACATTAACTTGCCATTCAGGTTGACTGGAGATCGTGGGAAGCCGAAGTGTGGCTGAAGGCCAGTTGAACTGATCCCTAAAGTGTTCTGCCCATCGATCCAATCTCCTGGATTGAGAATGTATAATATGTCCATCTTTCTCCAAGAGTATTTCGCTAGCAGTCGGGTTCATAATACCGGTTTCCTTAACAAGTCTGAACAATTGTCTGCTATTACCTATTGCCGCTGCCTTTTCCATCTCTCTTGCTTTCGCTACCCACCACTGTTCGCGATCATTGCGTAGACTTCTAGTCAGCTTGCGCTTAAGCTGACTCCGCTCTTCATTATGTTCAGAGCCAGGTGGAATGAGTTTCCGAGCATCTATCAGTGCGATAAATGCTGCTGAGATCCAGTGTTTCTCCCTAACCTTGTGGTTTACCGTACTAGCAGATATCATTGTTGTTTCCACGGCTTTTCATATATCATTCCACGCTGCCTCGAGGTGGGCATCACATACATGGTTGCCTAACTGTTTTTCTAGTTGTTCCTGAAATATACTCTTAGCTTGATTATCATTAAGTATGACTCTAAGAGATTTCCTTGCAGCGTCTTTCCTACGTCCAGTAAGACGCACACAAATACGCGCTCGCACTAAAGCATGGTCTGAATCTAAGTATGTGCTCCAGAATGAGCGACAGTCTTCTATCGAGCCCCTCCATCGGTGGCTGATAGCCATGTGATCTATTTGGGTCCAACGTTGGGGCGAATTAAGGGGTCGACATATCAAAAGATGCTTTTTCTCTTGCTTAAAGCTTCCGGTAAAACTCATCTTGTACATCGTCTGAGCTGCGATCAGAGATAGAATAGGTACAGACGACGAAGAGGCAACGACGAGTGTCCCTATTTTTCCGAGTCCTTACTGTCCCGCTTAGTCGGACAGCGCACAAACAACTATCTACTGGGATCTAAGAGAGCCAGTTCTGCTCTAGAATTCAGTGCTATACCTACGCCGGCGAGGCCACGGGAAGCAGAATCAGGGCTTCCAGATACACGAAGCATAAATCGAGTTGGTTTGTTACTTTGATATGGTGAGGTCAAGTGAATGACGCTACTCGGATCCTGTATGCGCGTTTCGGAGACGCGGCACACATCGATGACGTGAGAGTCTCAAATCCTAGTAAGGAAGCCTGTTGTCTTATTTGACAGTGTTCGGACGTTGAAAGCTCCTACGTGTAATTTAGAGCGTGGTTTCAGGAGACCAGGAATAACGTTCCGCGTACTCGAATCGTTTGCCCTAACAGTGAGAGGTGATGAAGAGACGTGAGAAGGATTAGTCGTAGAGATAAGAGCGGTATTAGAAGGTGTAGGAAGGATTTGAATGTGACCAACTCGGTTTCGTGTGCTGTTAAGGGTATGAGGGCTGATGTCACTTTCCGGCAGCCCACACCGTGGAAGGGTATTTCTTGAGGAACCTGAAAAGGAAATCGGATTAGTGTTGGCCTTAACAACCTGGGAGCGTGACCGCAGAGACCAAGGAACAACTGATTGAGGCCGGTCGCGCACGGTTTTTCCGTGGGAAGTTTTTAATGTGTTAGCTCCGTTCTTCAAAGAGCGTTACCGCCGGAGACGGAAATACGTGGGGTAAGGTGAGGTGTGACATTTTTAGGGTCGACCTTTTCTAACCCCTTCCTTACTTGTGAGAAGGCAGCATCACTGCAGATGCTGGTTGTCCGAGGGAAACACCTTACTGCTGTCACACCCCTCTACAGTCAGCAGTACGACTTCACCCTCAGATCTTGAGTTGCTGCTCTTAGTCTTACCGTTCTCCAATCGACCTGCTTGGCATGATAGAACCTACAGGAACATATGTTCCAGCCAATATAGCTCGGTTGGGTCACCACGATAGGCAAGCCCGACCACTGTGTCAAGGTAGCAGCCATGGTGTTTGCTAGTGTAGGAACAGGTTGGAAGAAAAATATAGATGGGTCAAAACCAAGACGTGATATTAATCCGTGAAGTCATTAACTGTTAATCTGAGCCACATTGGTAGATATTCACTACACGGTTGAGGTGCGTGCGATAATCGGGCTCAGTAGTCTAAAATGCTAGATGGTATAGATCAGAATCAGTCACAATAACTCAGATGTATTAGCCCTTCAGTTTGCATTAGATCTTAAATTTTAAAATTATCTGATAATTTTTATTTCACAAATTCATTCATTCTTTTCGCCGACCCGATAGGGTATAGTAGCTAGGACCGATGCACCGGATGGGATGGGTTCTGAGTTTTGAATAAAATAACCGTGAGAAAGTTATGTCCACTTCCACCTAATCAAAATGCAGTGGAGATGAATAATTCACGACATAGGAATTTTATTTAGGATCAGAAACTATAAGTACTGTTAGAATATAGTTAGCAGCTAGGAGTAGAAACAAAAAGCCGAGATGAATGCATTGTAATTCCGTATAGAGGAACACTTACGCAGTTAATTTTTAACATTAGGAACCTTTAAACAATCCATTAAAATTTTTGAATCCTGGTCTCTGTTCTTTAGTCTTCACATATTTACCAATTTTAAGCATTTTAGTAGTAAAATATTGGTAGCATTTACTAAGCGTTTAACAAGAAATAAGCTACTCGTAATTCCGTTAAATTTTTTTTACAAGAGTCCGATAGACGTTATCTTAAATCTTACTGGTACATTAGTATGGTATACTAGTAACATCTGAGCTTAACAAACATTTCTTAGACAGAATATCCCCACTCCTATCACTTAATTTACAACTCTTTAACAGACTATATAATAATATACTAGTTTCGAAACTTACCATCATAACAGGTTTCTTCACCACAATAGATTCCATCAATTTGAGCATAAGTTGACTGAGGTGTAAGTGATAGGATAAGGATGATTAAAAACTTCGTAGAACGTTCGAAATCTGTCAAATAAAATGGCATACCTATTTTTTTTAAAAATAACAAAATACGTTTTAACATTCAATATAGTTCTTTATTCTTAAAACAAGATCTACAGGTTGTTCACACTAAAAGTATAGTTCAGTAGTATACATAAGCACAAAATTGGATGAATATATGAAGGTTCTTAGTCATGATAATCTTGTGAACTTCCGTATGAAATAGTTTGGGAGTAGTTACGTCACTAACAGAAATATTGGAAGTGAATACTGTCCAAGCCACTCAAACCAACAATGAGATTAGGTGGATACGTTCCGTTTCAGTGGTCTTGAGTGTAGTGTTAACGTTCTCCTCAATGATATCATAACTTCTGAAGTGAGTAGCGATAATATACATGTCACATGGAAAACAACTTTGATTGACTCATTTTACTGTATATAAAAAATATAGACTAATACGTAAGCATAACATATTCCTTTCATTATCGAACTGTAACGTACTTGTGCAGAAACTTAATATAGATCCAAATCACTCAACGAGTACAGGTTTATGTACACGGCTCTGAACCACAACGTTTAGTTATAAGGCTAGTTACGCTGCCCCCGAATGCTCTGGTACGGTTGAATTATTATTATTAGAACATAGATATTGGTGAAAAGAGGCACCAAATACATATGCGCCACATAAATCTCATTTGATTTGTGTGAGGGTTGTGATACTAGACCAGGTGCTTAAACCGAAACAGGTGGTTTTCTTAAGGGGCCACATCCGGAACCTTCGACCTGAAGATCTGATCCACAAGGTAATGGAGCATCGTAAGCAGATGCAGTCCCATGGTAGCCGGTGACCAACGATTGGTTTATACACTATTTATTCCCTTAGGATACTGGAGACCATGTGCACTACTGGTTTCGAATCAGGGTTTTCCAACTCCCCTAGGTGAACTCTCCATGTCCACCAACGCGGTTAGAGCGCCGGGCATTCGCTTTTCGTCCTCTCAACCTCGCCACGAGAAGACAGTGAGTAGGACTTTCCTGGCAGAGGCTATATACGCGTGGCCATATGAGAGCATTACGAGAGAGAGAGATCGGACTCCCCTCTCTCGACCGTACAAGGGCTTTCAGGAGAGTGTGAATGTGAGGGAGGTCCGCACTCCCACTCAAAATACTCTCATATGACTGCTGGGAAAATCCAGAAAACTCCTCGACAAGAAAGGCTCTGGAAACACTGAGAAGCATCTAATCCAATCAGGGACCACTAAAAGTTGCACCAGAAACATTTAGGAATTTCTAGATGCATAGTTATAACTGTGTTGTGTCTGTTGATTGTCGCGGTGACTGATGGATGACCAGCGACTGCTTATACACATAATGGAAGATTACTAATCATAGTCATGTGGAAAAATTGGCTTGGTCGTGCAATTAATTCACAGTGAAAAAGTTATTAACACTAAACTAGTTGCATGCTCAGCCAAATTGCAAGTATAAAACACGAAAGTTTCGTCTTTCTCATTGTTAAAGACAGTATATTTCACTATGATGGGCATTCTCTGATGGTTCTAAACACAACGCAACAGCCCACCTGGAACGGGAAGTAACGTTCCCATTCAACAACCCGCGTCAATTTGTAAGTTCTGTTATCAATATGTTTCGCGATAACCAACTACGCTTTGGATTTATGTAATATCAGGAGTATGAAATGTTAGAGGGACTTTGAGGAACCTGAAGTTTTTCCAAACAAGTGAGATTTCAAGATTATGATCTTTTTATTCATTCTTGACGTGCTGCCAAATATGTCTCATGCCTCACTCCTATAATACACTTTCTGCTTCGCATGTATAAAAAAGTGATAAATCGTCTATCAGTTTTCCTCAAGGATGATGACTGACGGGGTGTTATGGGGTATCATAAGGTAGCCACATGCTGTATGCTGGTCTCTCGCTGTAAATCTAGATCTAATTAGGCCTTATAACAAGAATAATAGTACGACAGCTAAGGCTTTGAAACTGTTTTCAAATTGAAATTATTTGTGTTTTGTCGCGCAATCAATGAGTAACCAGACTAGTGTTGTTACGTATTCCGTTCATCACGAGCTTGTGTTTGACCTGTAAACTTTAACTATTCGGTCCCCCATTCCTATTTCACTATCATTTGGCCTTCCATAGCGTGGCTACTACTATTCCCCGTTTTACAGTACTAAGCGGTCCATTATATGTGCTTTTATGCCCATTTTTATAGGTAAATAAAACGTTCAAACAATGTAGGAAACCGGGATGACCAGTCAAATAGCAACTTAAATGGGGAGATACAATGTGGCAGTACTGGGAATCGGCGAAACCCACTGGACCCAAGCTGGACAGAAAAGGCTAGCTACGGGAGAGATGCTGCTATACTCCGGTCACGAAGAGGACAATGCTCCACACACTCAGGGAGTCGCTCTTATGTTGTCCAAAGTAGCACGAAATGCACTTGTAGAATGGGAATCTCACGGATCCAGAATCATCAAAGCATCATTCAAAACAAAGAAGGAGAGGATCTTAATGAATATTATCCAATGTTATGCACCCACAAATAATAGCAACGACGGCATTAAAGATCAGTTCTACGAGCGGCTGCAGTCAGTCATTGAGAAATGCCCAAGAAAGGACCTAACTATTCTGATGAGAGATCTAAATGCCAAAGTCGGAATAGACAACACTGGATATGAAGATATTATGGGACGACATGGACTGGGAGAAAGAAACGAAAATGGAGAAAGATTTGCAAATCTATGTGCATTCAACAAATTGGTCATAGGAGGCACAATATTTCCACACAAGCTTATACACAAGGCTACATGGATCTCTCTGGACCACACTACAGAGAACCAAATAGATCATATTTGCATCAACAAAAAATTCCGAAGGACAATGGAAGATGTGAGAACCAGGAGAGGAGCTAACATAGCTTCAGATCACCACCTAGTTGTGGCCAATTTAAAACTGAAGCTAAAAAAGAACTGGACAACTGGACAAACAACACTACAAAGGTTCAATACAGCCTTCCTTCGAGATACTGACAAACTCAATGAATTCAAGATAGCTCTCAACAACAGGTTCCAAGCCTTACAAGATCTACTGAAAGGAGAAGAAACTAGTATGGAGGACAACAGGAAAGTCATCAAAGAAGCATTAACTTCAACGTTTCAAGAGGTTCTGGGCCTAATGAAACACCATCATAAGGAGTGGATCTCTACAGAAACACTGAACAAGATCAAAGAAAGGAAGAACAAGAAGGCAGCAATAAACAACAGCCGAACACGAGCAGAGGAAGTCCAAGCACAAGCTGAATACATAGAAGCAAACAAACAAGTGAAGAGGAGCATTAGAGCTGACAAGAAGAAATACGTGGAAGAACTAGCAACGACGGCAGAAAAAGCTGCTAGAGAAGGAAATATGAAACAGCTTCACGATTCAACGAAGAAACTATCAGGGAAATACAGTAAACCAGAAAGACCGCTCAAAGGCAAAGAAGGCAAGCCAATCACTGAAATTCAACAACAGCGGAACAGATGGGTAGAATACTTCGAGGAACTCCTGAATAGGCCGGCTCCGATGAATCCACCGGACATCGAAGCGGCACACACAGATCTTCCCATAGACGTCAACCCACCAACGACGGAAAAAATTAGAATGGCCATCAGACAAATCAAGAACGGGAAAACGGCATGACCCGACAACATACCAGCGGAAGCACTGAAATCTGGCATCGAAGCAACCACAAGCATGCTTTACCTTCTATTGAAAAAGATTTGGGAGGAGGAACAAGTGCCGATGGACTGGAAAGAAGGACACTTCGTCAAGATTCCAAAGAAAGGAGATCTGAGCAAATGTGTAAACTACAGAGGCATTACACTGCTGTCAATACCAGGTAAAGTCTTCAACAGAGTGTTGCTGAACCGGATGAAGGATGCAGTAGACGCCCAACGTCGAGATCAACAAGCTGGATTCCGTAAGGATCGGTCATGCACAGACCAAATTGTTACTAATTTAACGATACACACACAGTCGTTTATTCTTGTTCTGTGTTTATAAACACGCCTATTACACTGTTTGCGTATTTCACGTCTCCTTTATTTATATTCCCTTATTTTCGCCATTTCCTTCTTTAAACTCAATTCAATATTCTTCTCAATTACACAGACCCGATTTATTATTATTAATATTCTACTATTATTATTCTAATTTTTATTTCTTTTTTTAAATATGGCAAGTATAATGCTAACATTATTGAAAATTGTGTATTATTGCATTTTTTGAAGAAACCCGAAATGGTTTCTTCACAACACTTATGTACCCATAAGATGTTTGTGAATAATAATAATAATAATAATAACACTACGGATCATCGTCGAACAATCAGGTGAGTGGAAGTCGTCACTATACATAAACTTCATTGATTATGAAAAGGCATTTGACAGTGTGGATAGGAGGACATTATGGAAACTTCTTCGACACTACGGAGTTCCCGAGAAGATTGTCAACATTATCCGGAACTCATACGACGGACTACAGTGTAAAGTCGTGCATGGAGGACAGCTGACAGATGCATTCCAAGTATGGACCGGAGTCAGACAAGGCTGTTTACTCTCTTCCTTCCTCTTTCTTCTGGTGGTCTACTGGATTATGAAGACCTCGACATCTGAAGGAAAACACGGAATTCAATGGACAGCTCGAAATCAATTAGACGATTTGGACTTCGCAGATGACCTAGCCCTCTTATCACGTACACACGAACAGATGCAGATGAAGACAGCCAGTGTAGCAGCAGTCTCTGCATCAGTAGGCCTCAGCATACACAAAGGGAAAACCAAAGTCCTCAAATTCAAAGCGGAAAACAACAATCCAATCACTCTTGATGGCGAAACTTTGGAAAAATGTTGAGTCCTTCACATACCTAGGAAGCATCATCGATGAACAAGAAGGTTCAGATGCAGACGTTAAGGCGAAGATTGGCAAAGCAAGGACAGCATTCCTACAGTTAAAGAAAATATGGAACTCAAAACAACTTTCAACCAATAGCAAAGTGAGAATCTTCAATATGAATGTCAAAGCAGTTCTACTGTATGGAGCTAAAACTTGAAGAACTACAACAACCACCATCAAGAAGGGAAAAGTATTTATAAATAGCTATCTACGCAAGATACTCAACATCCATTGTCCGGATACCATCAGCAATAGCTTTCTGTGGGAGAGAATAAACCAAATTCCAGCTGAAGAAGAAATTAGGAAAAGACGACGAAAATGGATAGGACATACATTACTCAAATCATCAAACTGCATCACAAGACAAGTCCTAACTTAGAATCCTGAAGGGAAGCGGAAAACTGGAAGGCCAAAGAACACATTGCGTCGGATAATAGAAGCAGATGTGAAAACGATGAATTACGACTGAACGGAGCTAGAAAGGATTGCCCAGGACAGGGTTGGATGGAGTATGCAGGTGAGCGGCCTATGCTCCTTCACGAGGAGTAACAGGCGTAAGTAAGTAAGTATGTTTACGTTGTCAAAACAGAAGCTGGCTGTTTACTTTTTGAACTCAAAGCAAGTCAAAGAAGAAAGCTAACAAAAAAATGCTTAGATGCGTCCGCTCAAGGTCAGCAGTGCTAGTGAAGACTGTAAACGATCAACTTTGAGGCACTAGACTATTCAAGATGTAGGCTAGAAAGAAATATAGCTAGATCTTGAATTAAATGCAAGACGCTACAGTATGTCAGACTGGAAGAAAATCCTATGGGGCTTTATCGCTCTAATTTAATCAGTTGCATGAATGCGGATCAGATCTACTAAATAGATACTACTGCCTAAACGAAAAAAGATAGCTCATTATATAGATAGCGAAAGACCACTTATGAATCTGGCGAATCTAGGAACTAATGGACCAATCTCGTAACAGCAAATAAGATGGAACGTTGCAAATCGATACGAAATAAGTGTATAAACCCAATCCAAGCAGCTCGATCAAAATATGAAAGTAGTAGGCCTGACTCGCAATCATTCATCCACTGAGACTGTCCACATATGTCAAATACAGCATAAGAACGCACCCTTGCATTAACGATATAATTATGGTAGGTAGTGGATCTCAAATGACGGAAGCCATGACTGATTATTTCCGTGCGGTCTTTACCCTCTTTAGCCTCTTCTCGAAGAGTGAATAGATCAAAAGATTTTACTAGTTCAGCTCCTCATTGTGGAGTTTGATCAAGACATAATAAATGCCCGAAAAAAGTTAGACATGCAAAAACCGATAGGATAGGACAAAATGTTTCCCAAAATTAGCTAATATATTGTGACCCCGCTGACCACAATACTAAGTTTTCTCTTGGCAACGGTGAGCTACCTACGTACTGGAACAATGGATCTTTTCATCCAATTCATAACACAAGATAAAGACAACTTCTACCAAACTACAGACCGATCAGCCTCACCAGTGTCTTCGGTAAGTACCGGTAAGAATAAATAAAAATTCATTTATGACCTTTGGGGAAACCAACGTGTTGAAGCAACGCATCTGATAGGACGCTTCATGACGGACTACTTCTGAACCTGGGAAATCTGGGAATTGACGGGCCTCTTCCAGATGGAT